CTTCATGTTCAGCTTTCCAGACAAGCTTTCCATTATTCGAGCTCGAGGTAAGTGCGTAGAGTTGAGCCATTACCTGCGAGAACTGGGGCACGAACTGCCGAAAGTATGATGCCAAGCCAATGAATTGACGTAACTGTGTCACAGTCTCCGGGGGTGGCAGAGCAGTAAGAGCTTCCACTTTCCGCTGGTTAGGGCGTATCTCACCTTGGCACACCTCAAATCCCAAATACTCCACCTTTTGTTTGAGGAACTTGCACTTCTTCATGTTGAGAGAAAATCCCCTTTCGGTGAGGACTTCTAGCACGATCTTCAGTCGCTCCAGCGCTTCCTCTACAGTGCTGGCCATAATCAGCACGTCGTCCATATAGACCACAACATAGGTGTTCACCAGATCCCCGAGAGCTTTTATGATTGCGCGCTGGAAAACTGCTGGCGCGTTCTTTAGGCCAAACGGCATTCTGAGATACTCGTCTGGTGTTACAAACGCAGTTCGTTCGATGGAATCAGCTGCGACAGGGATCTGATGAAAGCCCGATGTGAGATCCAAAGTGGAGAAGTACATACCTCCGTGCAACCTAGCAATTTGGTCGGAGATGAGTGGTAGCGGGAATCTGTCAGGTATTGTGTTGTCATTCAGTTCGCGGTAATCCACGCAAAGCCTGTCGGAATCATCTTTCTTCTTGACTAGAAGTATTGGGCTTGCAAATGGTGACGAGCTAGGACGAACTATGCCTGCGTCTAGAAGCTCGCTTACCTTTTCTCGAACAACTTGTCGCTCTTGAGTGCTCAGCCGATATGGTCGCCGATTAACAGTCTTGTGTGGATCCTTTAGGCGAATCTCCATGGGTTCAGTATCCGCGCATTTCGCTGGCACACCTCTTGAAAAAGACTGCTCAAATGATTTCAACAAATCAAGTAACTGACCTTTGTATTCAGGTGGGACGTCGGTGTCCACCGTGTCCGGATTAATTCCTTGGTCAGTTGGCAAAACATGGCACAACTGAACGATTAGATTTTTGGAAAATCTCAGTTGCGAAGCAGTGATATGTGCAGCCAAACCTAACAGCAAAATCTCATGACCTACTACGATGTTATTATGATGATGTTACGATGATGTGCAATAAACAGGGGTCTGACCTAAACCAATCAATGTCACTGTATTATTGAGTCGTCGTCCGTTGAGTCTCTGTGACACAGTCTCTTTTACAAGTGAACACTCAGCTCCAGAATCAAAATGAAATGAATAAGGCTCACCAGCAATACGCACGGTCCCAGTAGGCACGCTCCGGACGCACAGGTTGACCCTTTTCACGTTGGAGGCGCCCGCTCCGCTGGTCCCTTCCTGGCTGCGCCGCTTCGGACAGCTCGACGCGTAGTGGCCGCTCCCTTGGCAGTGGTAGCAGGTGACGGCCGCTGGTTTGGTCTGGTTTGGCTTGCTGTTATCATTGTTGCCCAGTTGAGGTCTAGGGTGCTCGTCTCTCCTCTTCATATTGTCCCTCCTACGTGACTGACACATGGTAGATTTGTGTCCCATCTTCCCGCAGTAGTAGCACTTCACAGGAGTTGTTGTGCAAGTGCTGCGGTTCTTCTTGGTATCAGGCACATCAAGGTCATTCGCATTGGCTTTACGTTTAAAAAAAGATACTGCCTTCAATTCTTGTTGCAATTGATTGCGTGTCTTGACGTCGGTTGTAAACGAAAGTCGTTGAATACGTCGGTCGAAACGTGACAAATGTGCAAGAACAGTAGCTATAGCCAGTTCTTCGGTGGGTAAATTTTTCCATCTGGCCATAATCGACGTCATAAGGGAGGCAGCATATGCAGCAACACACTCATTTTCTTTAGGCTTGCTTTCATTTAGGTTGATTAAAAATGAAGCAACAGTTTCGGGACAGTCGTATCTTGCTTTAAAAAGCTCCTTGAAATCATACCAGTTCATGCCAGGGTATGAAATCGTCGAAAACCACGTGGAGGCATGCCCCTTTAACGCACGACTTAAAGCCACCATAAGGTGCGTACCTTGCTGATGCTGGTCACTGATGCAGAGGTCAGCCGTCGATATCCAAGCACGTGCGTCGACATCTCGTTTATCAGGGTCGAAATCGGGCAGGCGTAGCTCACTGGTACAAGGCGTCTTCATAGCTTGCACAAGGGTCATAAAATTCCGGTTCTGCTGTTCCAAAAGTAGATGCCATCTTCTATCGTCTGCGTCGTTATTTATTGCACGTGGTGAAACGTTATTTGCAGCGGCATCATGATTTTCAACACTCGGTGGGTCGTTGTCCTTTGCACGTGGCGCGTGGTTTTCCAATCCCACTTCTGATGACGGGGCATCCAGGCGCTGAGGCTCCATAATGGCGTAGATTCCAGAAATAAAACGTAATTTACGATGATCAGGCTTTTATTATTTGCCAGCAATTACAATTCTTGAATAATCACGATAATCGAGATGCAAACGGATACACTTTGGTTGCGCGGCGAATTCGACACGGGGCTGACTAACTCGACAGTTTTGCCGTCGCAATCTGAAAAATGAATCTTCACGTTTTTTTGATTTTCCATCCACGGCCGGACGTCAATCTCGTAAGGTTCGCAGCATTCATTTTTGTTTTCCACAGTACCAACATGAGGTTACAAATTGACAGTTAGTCTATGGCCACAATATGGCCCAACCAGCCAGCCACGTATCGACTACGCCCAAGTTCGGATACTTGACGCAACCAATAAAAGAAAAAGAAAAGATACTGCCTATGGTTTGATTTTTAAACGAAAACCTATGTTGACAGATTACAACATAAGTTCTACAACTAGCCGATCCGGCCAAGTGTGGCGCTACTGTCGCGTGCTCCGACATATTTATGCAGAACTTGCATCGAGTAGGTACGGTAATTGATGCGATAATACCAACATTATGGTCGACGCGAGGCGATACCGTGATGTGTCGATATTGTTCATGCATTCAAGGCCTGAATGCAAAATTGAATGAAAACACTGTGATTCAATGTCATAGGGACTAGAGAATTGTTATGTGGGTACAATGTCAATATCTAGTAATCTATGTTTCTCGTCTTATCATAATAATGCGTACTTGGTTTTAAGTTTAAACAATTAACTAACTTTAACTATTGATTGTTTCTGTGGTTTATAATAAAATGAATAATCACTATATAGTAGAAAACAAAGTCGCTTTCTCTATCCATATATATGTATGCTTCAATCTTTAAAACTACGCAACGGATTTCGGTGCGGTTTTTTATGTATAGAAAGATTAAAGGGCAAGGTTTATATGTATAATCATCATCATCATCAGCCTATAAGTGCCCATTACTGAGCAAAGGCTTTTTTCTCGCACGGAGAAGGTTTGAGCATTAATCACCAAGCTTGCTCAAGGCGGATTGGCGATTTCAAAATTATAACTAGAAATTGAAAGTTCTGGGGTTCTAGACGACGTCATACGTCGTCGTGTTGGCCCGGAGATTCAGGAGCCCGCTTCTCATACATGAAGGTGCGGGTTCGAAACCTGGCAAGTACCCATATGACATTTTCCGAGTTATATGCAGTTTCTAAGATTATTCAGGGACCAAAAAAATATCGTGTGGATGTATCCACATGTATCCACCATCCATTAAGTAATGCAGAAATTCAGTATCAGTTTTGAACCAGTTATGAATTCAGTAGATACGCAGTTTGGGCGGGTCGCTAGTATTTTAGATAAATCTTCTGAAAAAATAGAACGTTCCTTTTCCTTTTTCAAATGAATGAATAAGCAAAAAAGGAAAATTTCTGTAAAAGGTGCCATGATTTGTCCATGAGCAGCATTGGTCACTTTGCTATTCAAATAATTCGTCAGTTCGTTTGACCTTGCCCTAAAAATAGTAAGCAGTATGGTTTGTATATGACTGTGCCGTAAACTGACGAAACTATACAAGGTTCTTTTTTATGGGATTGGGCGGCCAACGAGCCTACATATCGCCTCATGGTAAGCAATCGGTGTCGTCCAAGGACACCTACTACACCAGAAGCACCATTTTGTAGAGGGAAAGTCCTCAAATGACTTCTCTTGCCAAGGGTAAGGCGAAAGGGAGTGTCAGACTCTTACTGACTAAAAACTCCTCCAAGCCTTCTTTTGCTCCGCGCCGAGGTTGCAATACCACAACGTACAAGTAATTATTTGAGAATTGGACATTTGGGGATTGGGCAGAGAAGGAAAAGGCCTCCGGTAAACCGAATCACGAGGTAAAATACTGCGCTGTTCTTGTTTCACCCCGGTTTTTTTACGGCCATGGTATGATGACGGAAAAGTGGTTCAAACTCTTTGACATCATGACGTCAATGGATGGTTGTCAAACGTTGCCTAGAGATTGTAAATTTCGTCGTGAATTGTCAACACGAGTTGGTGTAATCGGTAAGGCGTGTGGATTACACCACAGAGACCCCGAGTTCGAGTCCCGCCGTAAACATGAAGTTTTTTAGTTGATGGAAGTTTTGTCGAACTTTCTGGAATTATTTGTGTGAAAGAAATGAAAAATTAAAGAGCGAGAAGGAGAATAAATAAAAATGAATAACGAAATTATTGGAAAGTTCTGGAGGCATGACGATCAAAAAGAATAACGAAATTGAATGTTCCAGAACCTGACCGGGGGTATATAAGCGGAACTGCGGCTCACCGCTGGCAGTTGAGTTCTAAGTCCAAAGCGATTCGGAAAAAAAGGAAGAAGTGAAAAAGGAAGAAAAGTGAGTGAAATAGTGAAGTGCAGTGAGTTAAGTGAAAGTCAGCGTAAACTGTGAGCGGCAAACGGAAGTTGTGTCAGTCGACCGGACTTTGCTGGAGAGGAACGGCGATAACTTAACTCCGTGGACGCTGTCACTTAATTTCAATAGAAAGTCTGAAAACCGGTATTAGTGTTTAATTTCATCCAATCCCATAACCCAAGCCCGCATAGTCAGAAACGTGACGTCAGGCACGTAACATTTGGTGTCAGAAGTGGGATTCGAGAAAAATGCCGCTAGTGCCGCAGGACGTAAGAGGAGTGAGTACCCGTGCAATGTCAGAAGCGCAGCGTGTGAGGGAAGAGGGTGCTGCAGCTCAAACCAGCGATGCAGAAGCTAAGCCTGTGCAGGTGGATCTTCTGCTACAGCTGCAGCAAATGATGGCAGAGCAAGCGCGCCGCCAAGAAGAGCAAGCGCGCTGTCAGGCAGAACAGCTGCGGGAGCTGAAAGAAGATCAAGCGCGCCGCCAAGAAGAGCAAGCGCGCCGCCAAGAAGAGCAAGCGCGCCGCCAAGAAGAGCAAGCGCGCTGTCAGGCAGAACAGCTGCGGGAGCTGAAAGAAGATCAAGCTCGTCGACAGGAGGAGCAAGCGCGTCGCTTGGAAGAGATGCATAAAGATTTTACGAAGGGACTGCAAAAGGCTGTCGAACGGGTACAAGAAGTGGAGGAAGGGTTAGGCAAGTTGGAACATCGCGTCATGGCGATAGAGGAGAGAGTGGAAGAAGAGATCTCCAAAATCAAGCAGGAAGTGACAAGCCTAAGCCCTTTGAAGAGCCGAAGCCGTCTTGCAGCCGTTTTTGAAGCCCCGAATGCGGCCTCAAGCGCAACGAAAGGGCTCAAGATTCCCCATTACGACGGAACAACATCCTGGACCGCGTTCAAGCTACAGTTTGAGACACTTATGGAGGCTTATGGTTGGACTCAGAAGGAAGCACAGTCAGCCCTCACCCTGGCCCTCCGTGATCAAGCGCTCTCAGTGCTGGAGGGTATCGACGCACGTGGGGATCTCAGCTTTAGTGCCCTCCTTGACGCACTTGAGGCACGTTTTGGAGACAGCCACCTCGAGCACGTGTACAGAGCGCAACTAAAAGAGCGTACTCAGCGTGCTAATGAGAGCCTACAGCAATGGTCCGTGGAAATCGAGAAACTTGTGCGTCGAGCTTTCCGGTCGACTCCGTCAATGATTGAAGGCATGCTTCTCCAAGCGTTCATTGATGGTATTCGGGACCCCGAAGTACGAGCTGCTGTTCATCTGGGCCATCACAAGAACATGAAAGAAGCTCTGGCCCATGCATTGGAAGTGGAAGCCGTGCGTGGTAACTCCCGTACATTATGTCTGCGGGAAATGACGACAACGGAGCAGGTACCTCCACGCCGTCGGAACTTCATGTGCTATGGATGTGGAGAGCGTGGGCACATACGGAGCGACTGCCCGAAGAAGATGAACCGCCAGGACGCGGCGGTCTCAACTTCTGACCAGCAGGGAAACTTAAATCCAGCCAGGGCTGCGGGGTGGGCGCTGGCTGGTAGTGGAACAACCCCAGCAATCTACATCAAGCAAACCAACGATGGAAATACTCTGGTGATAGACGGTCAAGTAAATGGGAAAAACAGTCAGCTGACATTAGATACTGGAGCTTCAAGGACGGTGATAAATGTTCGGCTGCTCGAGCAAAACATCAGGAAACACCTTAAACCAATTGTTGGCCTACAAATGAAATCAGCTACCGGCCAGTGCATACCGATAAGCGGAAAACTGCATGTAACAATCAAAATTGGGGAACGTGTTTATCGACATGAGGTTATTGTGGCCAAAATTCTGGATGACTGCATCCTGGGACTTGACTTCCTGCAAGGGCACCAGTGTAACATCGACTTAAAATCTGGAGTTTTACTATGTGGAACTGAGGAAATTCCGATGAAGGGTGGAACCCTGGGAAAAGTTTGCTGTTTAAGAAGAACTGTTCTTGCACCAAAATCACAGACTCTCGTACCAATCGCATTACCTAGGAGGAAGGAAGGAAGTTTACCTCGAAGGTGCGCTGTGATTGATAAATCGGAACACGTAAGCTCATGGCTACCGGCAAGAACTGTCGTGGGGTCATCTGATGTCAACCGCATTCCGGTATTCAACTTCAGTGATTCAAAAATTACGATTGAAGAAGGAGAGCCTGTGGGCGTATTGGAAGAAGTGGCCTGGATAAGAAAATGCTCGGAGAATCTTGTGAAGAAGGACAGTACGGGAATTGACTTTGTAACGAAAATCTTAGACGAAAACAAAAGTCTGACAAAAGTGGAGACTATGAAAGCTAGAAATTTACTTCTTCGATTCTCTGATGTGTTTTCAAGAAGCGATGGTGATATTGGCCGAACTGGTTTGGTGAAGCATAAAATAAACACAGGTGATACAATGCCAATTCGTCAAAGGCCCAGACGCATACCATTCGCTCGTGAGAAAGAGGTTGAAGAAATGATTGACGATATGAGGAAAAATGACGTGATAGAGCCCTCTTCTAGCCCTTGGTGTTCACCTGTCGTGCTTGTCAAGAAGAAAGATGGTTCAACGAGGTTTTGCGTAGACTATCGACGATTGAATGATGTAACCAAGAAGGATAGCTACCCGTTACCAAGAATCGATGACACACTTGACACACTGAGTGGCATGAAATGGTTTTCAACGCTCGATCTGAAAAGCGGCTATTGGCAGGTGGATTTGGATCCCAAGGACAAGGAAAAGACCGCATTCTCAACTGGGAAGGGACTCTGGCAATTTAAGGTGATGCCATTTGGATTATGCAATGCACCGGCAACCTTCGAGCGTTTGATGGAACAGGTGCTGGCGGGACTGCTGGGTGAAACCTGCCTAGTTTACCTCGATGACATCATCATTGTTGGACGGGATTTTGACGATCATCTAAGGAAATTGGAAAAGGTACTCGACAAGCTGCGTGGAGCAAATTTAAAGTTGAGTCCAAAGAAATGCTCTTTCTTCAAGCGCGAAGTGAATTATCTAGGACATGTTATTTCTGAGAGAGGAATTGAGACTGATCCAGCCAAGACTGCCGCTGTTAAGGAATGGCCAACACCTAAAGACAAAACGCAAGTTCGGGCAATTCTTGGATTGTGCTCGTATTATCGGCGGTTTGTGAAAGGATTCTCGGACATTGCCAAGCCTTTGCATCGATTGACAGAGGAGAAACGTGCCTTTATCTGGGACGAGGATTGTGAGCAAGCCTTTCGAGAACTAAAAGAAGGGCTTTGTAACACACCAATTCTCGGATACCCCAGCGCGAAAGGAATATTCGTAGTAGATACGGATGCCAGCAATATTGGAATAGGAGGTGTCCTTTCACAACGCGATGGTGAGCAAGAGAAGGTTATTGCTTACTTCAGCAAGTCACTATCCAAGCCGGAGAGGAATTATTGCGTGACCAGGAGGGAATTGCTGGCCGTAGTCAAAACTCTGCACCATTTCAAGAAGTATTTACTGGGACGGAAATTTTTGATCAGAACTGACCACGCTGCTTTGAAATGGCTGCTTCAGTTTAAGGATCCCGAAGGCCAAGTAGCCAGATGGTTGGAACAACTTCAGGAATTTGACTTTGAAATCGAACATCGCGGCGGAAGAATTCATGGCAACGCAGATGCATTATCGAGACGCCCATGCGTGGAAGATTGCAAGCATTGTGCCAAGAAGAAAACTGCTTTTCTTAAGGTGATAAGGACTGATACTGTTGACGAGGCATGGGGAGATGATGCGATGAAATTAGAACAGGAAAGAGATGCAGATATTAAACCAATACTGGAGTGGCTACGAAGTGGTAACAAGCCAAGTTGGAGTGACGTCGCCCAATATAGCGCGGTAACGAAAGGTTTATGGGCACAGTGGAAAAGCCTTACGCTGCATAACGGACTTCTGTGCAGGAAATGGGAATCAACAAACGGCAAGGACGAGCATTTGCAATTGGTGGTGCCTCGTTCAAAAATAAGGGATGTATTAAAAGCGTTCCATGATGGATCTTCTGGAGGACATTTGGGAATTAGGAGGACTTTGGTGAAGATCAAGGAGAGGTTTTATTGGTTGCATTGCAAATATGACGTCGAAGATTGGTGCCGGAAATGCACTAGTTGTGCAGCTGTCAAGGGTCCACAAACAAGAAGCAGAGGGGCGATGAAAATCTACAATGTTGGTATGCCTTGGGAGAGAATAGCCTTAGACATCGCTGGACCATTTCCAATCACTGATTCGGGCAATCGCTACGTTTTAGTGGTTATGGATTATTTTACAAAATGACCGGAGGTCTTTGCCATACCGAATCAAGAGGCAGTAACTGTAGCCACGAAGTTGGTAAACGAGGTATTCACCCGATTCGGAGTGCCCTTGGAGATGCACAGTGATCAAGGACGGAACTTTGAATCCCAAGTTTTTCAGGAAACTTGTAAACTTTTGGGAATCCATAAGACTCGAACGACCCCTTATCATCCACAGTCAGATGGAATGGTCGAACGTTTCAACCAAACATTGGAGCGACACTTAGCAAAGGTGGTTGACAGCCATCAGAGAGATTGGGACACTTACATACCTCTCTTCTTGCTTGCCTATCGGACTGCTGTACATGAAAGTACCGCAAAGACGCCTGCATTTGCAAATTTTGGAAGGGAAATGAGATTACCGGCAGATCTTGTATCGGGCTGTCCACCTGGCGACTCTCGCACCGAGTTTAGCGATTACATAAGCGAGTTAAGGGCAAAAATGTTGGACATTTATGAGCAGATCAGGGAGGCCGGTCTTCAAGCTAGTGATCGCGCAAAGACGCGCTATGATCGACGAGCCAATTCTGTTGGGTTTGAAGAGGGGTCATTGGTCTGGCTTCATAATCCAGTCAGAAGGAAGGGAAAATCTCCGAAGCTGCAACCGAGTTGGGAAGGTCCTTATGAGATAGTCACGAAGATCAATGACATTACTTACAGAATTCGGAGGACTTCAAGGAGCCCTTTGAAAGTTGTCCATATAGACAGGTTGGCGAGGTATTACGGCAGCAACGATGCTCGGGACGAGCGAATCTAAGAGGGGGGCAGTGTGACGGAAAAGTGGTTCAAACTCTTTGACATCATGACGTCAATGGATGGTTGTCAAACGTTGCCTAGAGATTGTAAATTTCGTCGTGAATTGTCAACACGAGTTGGTGTAATCGGTAAGGCGTGTGGATTACACCACAGAGACCCCGAGTTCGAGTCCCGCCGTAAACATGAAGTTTTTTAGTTGATGGAAGTTTTGTCGAACTTTCTGGAATTATTTGTGTGAAAGAAATGAAAAATTAAAGAGCGAGAAGGAGAATAAATAAAAATGAATAACGAAATTATTGGAAGGTTCTGGAGGCATGACGATCAAAAAGAATAACGAAATTGAATGTTCCAGAACCTGACCGGGGGTATATAAGCGGAACTGCGGCTCACCGCTGGCAGTTGAGTTCTAAGTCCAAAGCGATTCGGAAGAAAAGGAAGAAGTGAAAAAGGAAGAAAAGTGAGTGAAATAGTGAAGTGCAGTGAAATAGTAAAGTGCAGTGAGTTAAGTGAAAGTCAGCGTAAACTGTGAGCGGCAAACGGAAGTTGTGTCAGTCGACCGGACTTTGCTGGAGAGGAACGGCGATAACTTAACTCCGTGGACGCTGTCACTTAATTTCAATAGAAAGTCTGAAAACCGGTATTAGTGTTTAATTTCATCCAATCCCGTAACCCAAGCCCGCATAGTCAGAAACGTGACGTCAGGCACGTAACAGTATTGCTCCGGTCGAGATGGCCCATTCGCGTCGGCGTAGATATGGGTCACCCACATTAAATTTTTGGTTACGTAAAGGTATGTGTCTCTTAATTTGTTAAAATGTTTCGACTAATGCATTAGATATACTTAAATGTACAATTCAGTAATAAAGCATGTATCGCCTATAAATTTATCGTTTCTACTACTACTTTTTTTCATCGTTTTTACCTACTCGTAACTAATGTAATCCAATGTGAAATCAAGTATTTATAGAAAATTATGATACATGTAATGTGTACAACCATGTAACAAGCGAGTTGATTGGTGTAATTAAACAATTAACAGTCAGTCATTATGTGAATAGTTGTCAGTTAGTGAAGTAATTGGATGTTACATTTAATAATTAATTGATGTCTACAATTACAAGTATCTGCTTTAGGTCTTATGAATGAAGTTGTTTAGGTACGTTTAGAGAGAATTTTTTAAACTGTCGAGCGCAATTGCCAAGCTCTCTTCTTTTTTTTGAGAGGGAGAACCTTCGTTTTATATTCTCCCGCCATCGGCCCTATTCGGGCCACATCTACCATAGCCTAATAACTTTTTGAGTCGCGCGCTATACGCTACGCGGCATACGCCCATCAGGATCTAGTCGGGCGGCGAGCTACCTTTATTAACCATCGCTTACGTGGGCAGGTTTCAGATATTTGAAAGTATCCCAAGTATAAGTACTGAGTTTGTTTTAGTGCCCGGTGTTTATTGGTGTATGATCTATGATAAAAGGCTCAATAAATATTACAAGGGGCTCGTAAAATAAATGGTAAAATAAAAAAAATGCGGTACGTGGTATACGTACTTCTGCACCACTGTTTACAGTATCTACACTTTCGAGAAATTATACATCACATCATCAGCCTATAAGTGTCCACTGCTGACCAAAGGCCTCTCATACGTACAAGGTTTGAGCATTAATTAGCACCATGAGGCGGATTGACGATTTCAAACTTATAATTAGAAATTATAAGTCCAGGTTTTCTCACGATGTTTCCTTGGTTGGTTCCTTCATTGTATGTCCGTAGATCATAGAAGATCAGAGAGAATCATAGAATCTAAATAAACAAAGAAAGTACATATAACTCGGAAAAAGTCACATTGGTACTTGCCACATTTCGATTCCGCACCCTCATGTATGAGAAGCTGGTGCCTTAAACTCCGGTCCACCACGACAAGAATTCATAAGGATGATATTATGATATTTTTTATGTTTAGAGGGAGGAAAGTCTTTAAATGGTTTTTCACGATTAGGGCGAGGCGAGAGGGAGTGTCAGATTGTTACTGACTAAAAATCTCTCCGTTCCTTCTCCTGCTTCAGACTCGCCAAGGTATATTACAGCGCTTGATCCACAACGCCGGCTGATACAATGACCCTGATTTGTACAATTATCGAAAATTTCATAAAACTATTGACGATTAGGTAAAAGTTCCTTGAAAAGTTTTATCAGAGGTGAATCACGCGCAAAATCATCAGTAAGTCCGCTACGTAAATTATGTTAGCATGATTAGAATCAGCGGGGCGTCGTGGCGTGCCAACCTTACGTCACGCATCACCCGCCGACACCTCGCTACCTGCTACCCACTCCTCGTGGAGCTAATTAACTGCCTTGGAGCTAAAGTAGGAGATGGCGAACCAAACATTAAGTGAAACTGGGTTAACCTTCGTATCTTTCTCTTAGTACTAGAGGAGCCCAGGATTCTAAATTTGCAGTTACTCAAGCGATCTAAGGACCAACAGGATTTGGTAGAATTTGTGATAAACAGACAAAATTATTTTTAACAATGTTTCCCTCCGACAGTGGATAAATATGAATTATGAATTAATAATATTTGTTCCTCTGGTGTTGCGGATGTCCATGGGCGGCGCCGATCGCTTACCGTGTGGTGATCCGTCTGCTCGTTTGCCTCCTATTCCATGAAAAAAAAATGAATTTTTAAAGTTATTTTTTTCCCCGTGTCTCTACATGAGCTTCCCTGTGATTACCTTCTCGCTACAAGGATACTTAAATGAATAGGATAAATAAATAGGGTAGGATTAAGATAGTTAACTTGCACATCCTAATCAAAATACGGAGGAAACTCTTAGAAGGACTGCCAAGAAAATGCCATAGTTGGACCACATGAGAAATTGTTATAAACACTGGAATGGTTTCTTGAGTACGACTAGAAATACTTATGACCGAAGTAATTGTCTTGACTTTTGACATTCAACATGAGCGCCATTATGTGGACATACTAATGACATTAAGTACACGCAATATAAATATGTTGTATACACCCCGTAGTTCAAGGGCGAAGTGATTCAGATCTTGTGCCTTATTAGTTATTTTGAAGGTTAATCTAAGAAAACTTTACCTGTAAATATTGGTTTATCGTAGTTTCGTTAGGTAAATAAGCCGTAATTAAATAACATAATTACCTCAAGCGAAATAATAGGCATAAAAATATTGTTTTGCTTGAAGAACTGGTCCGTTTCTTCAAAGTACCCAAGTTGATTTGTACTGTTGGCATCTTTAATAAAAAATAGTAAACGCTTGAACAAAATACATTGTATCATCGCGTGAGAACTTATTTGCTTAGTACAAACTGTCTCAGCTGACTAGTTCAGTTAACAGTATTTTCTGTCATCAATCCACTAAGTAAGTAGGTCCCATTTACGACATCCCTAGAATCAGGGTAGCCTACTCTTTACCGGAAAATAAAATATTTATGGGAATAAACTGTTCCAATGTGTCAATAACATCCAATTGCTGTTATAGCGTCTATAAACCAAGTTACAGTTGGTCTGAGACCGTAGACTTGGATTACGGTGACCTGCTTTAAGCACGTTAATAGATTAGGTGTTGGGCGGGCGGCGGGCGGCAGGCGTTGCGTGGCGCCCACCGCCCAGCGCCACCTCTGTCCGAGCGGGCAGCGGCGCGCGAGGGCCAGTCTGAGGCCCGCGCCCTCCGCGCCCGCTCGCGAGCCGCGACTCACACGGCCGCGCCGCTGAACATATGGCGCGACTTCGCTAACACCTTTGTTATGGACAAGCGTGCCACCAGCGGCCGGGGAGAGCCCATCCCGAGCATCCTCAAGAAACCTAAGGGCCGCCACAAAGGAGATCTCCTGGATAAGAGCACAAAGATCAAGCGCGAGAAGGTGGAAGACTCCAAGAAAGGTGGAGATGTGAGCACTCCGCTGCAGCAGGGGTGCTCTCCGCTCATGTACGCCTGCCAGCAGGCAGACTACAAGGCGGTCGTCGATATACTCAATAAGGACGTGAGTTCGTCGACTGCACTCACACTAGAAGCAAAAACTCAATTTAAAATGATTCACACTTCTCTGACATCCAGGCTGAAGCTTGCTGCTTTGTATGTAGATTCCATTGTAGCTTCATTCAGACGAATAGATCTTTTAAAACTTTTCCAAAGTCGTCAATTCTTGATCGGAATACTGGCAGGTTATCGTACATTAAATGAAAAGCGTTCTTTCAATGTTTTATGAGTAGCACGCGATGTTCCTCGTCCGTCGATCACTTCACTTCTTGTCTGTAAACAACCCTCAACGCTCGCCTACTGCGCTACTTCAAATACTTCCCCCAATGTTTATGTATGTAATAGTCGCCAAGACACCGCGCCGCCACACATTCATTATGTATGACGTGAATTAGGTTTATAATGGTTACCACGTCGATGTAACTTAATTGTCTCCAACACGATTTGTATCACAAAATGTCGAAAAGAAAACATTTAAAAGCAAGTATGAATAGTTTTTGTGTAATGAAAAATCAACTAAGCATGAATTTTGTAAATGTTGACAATGATGTAGAATCAGATTGCTTTGAAGGAAATGCACTAACACGCGGTGAGACGGGGGTGCGAGGTACCAGTCAATCAATAGGTTTAGAATTGACTGGCACAATAGAAGGAGCCGTCCTCACATGCACGGCACACGCTAGGCGTGACGATTACAATCCGTTGTCTAGTAACACGACACGTGGCATAACCCGCTCAGCTCGCTAACGACCCAACTCCACCAACGTCATGTTAATTCTTCGAAACTAATAATAAGTCATAGATTCACAATGTCATGAGTAGTCCTAACTTTGTTTTTATCAACGTTAGTGTTAACTGCGGACATGATAGTGAACAATTTTCAAAGATTGTTTTCTTGTTGAATGGATAAATTAGATGTTGGTTTATTTTCCATTCATTTCAGTGTAGTAAACAGACACAGCAAAATTGTATTCAATAAACTTGAGAGTTTAACTATTTATACAAGTAAATTTTTCTAGTAGTAAATGTTATGAAATTGAGATGTGGAATGCAAAAAATTTGAAAAGCCTATCGGAAAATTACGTACGTAATTGACTTGGTACGTAATTTGACCAAAAACTGTAAAAGACACAGCAAAATCGATAACGATTCTTGCCGAACAGGTATTCCATAATAATAATTAACGAGGCACAAGATATTTATTGCAACTTACGAAATGAAGAATAATAAATATACAAGTAGAAAATTTCTTTTATTAGACTGGGAATTATTATTATAGGCGAAATGTTTTTTTTTTAAATGGTTCATGCATCAAATCAAATGCCTACCGAAGAATGTCATAATCACATCAAAGCTTGCAAAGCACTGACCAGCCACAATCGCCACCCCAGCATAATTAATTAGGTATACGGAACGGTCTTGGATTTTGTCGTAAGTTATTTTAACTAGATTTTGATGATAACTGAAGTTCTTGATGGCTTTATTTTCTTGTATATTCATGGAAATTCTATTACTATTAGCCGGCTTCAGTACGTGTTCGTGACCGCGGTCTGCGGTGTGCGTTGCACTACTGCGCGTCGAGCGGCGCGGGCGCAAGCCAGGCGGCGCGTGCGGCGTGCGCAGATCGCGTGCTGATGGCTGCGCCGGCGCTGGCAGACGCAAGAGACGCTGATGGTTTAACACCACTACATCTAGCGGTCGTTCATGGCAACGTACCGCTGGTGCAAACTCTTCTAGCTGCTGGTGCAGATGTGAACGCCAGAGATGATGAACACCATACCGTTGTTCATTGGGCAACAGGTAACTATTGTTGTTAAACTTTTGTACTGCTATATATTGCTTCGTTTTTTACGATTATAATCGAGTTTCAAGGACTTCACTACATGATTATTAGGTGAATATAAATTTGAAATTAATGAACCCCAAAACCTTTGAATAATATAGAAAAATATTTTATATTTGTAATATGCCTTAAGTATTTCTCGGGCAAACTTAATGTTAGAAACTATCTAGGTGTGAATCATTTAGTTCACCTCAGTGTTAGGGTGTTGCCCTCTGCGTCACTAAAATAGATGGATAGGTGTTCGGAGTGAATTGTTATCTAAGTGAATTGTCATCAGTCAGTCGGTAGACGTTGAGCCGAACTTACGTGTATTCGTGTCGCCGCGCCGGTGACTAAGCAAAGTGAATACGTTTCTCAAAGTTTTCTACATAGTCAGTTGTCATTTAGTTCTGAACTACATAACCATGTTTGTTTGTCATCGCTGTAACAGTGAGATAAGAGACGCTGTCCAATGCACTGTGTGTCTAAATCATTACGACTTTCCCTGTGCTGGGATAACCGAAGCTGGATACCGTAGGCTGGGAGACAGGAAAGCTGTTTGGAAATGTAGCGCCTGTAAGATCGGGGCCTCTAGTCCGAATCCTACTGGAAAGGTTGTGGGCGGAGCGGGGATGACGTCTGGTGAACTTGACAGTATTCATCTTGAGCTGAAGAAACTTGCTGAGCAGATGGCTTCTTTGCCTCAACTGATAAGTAAAGTTCAGATGATTCAAAATGATCTGACGGAGCTTAAGAGCATGAAAGACGAAATGTTCGAAGTTAAGAAGAGTCTAACCTTTGTGCATACCTCTATTGATCAGTTCACTGATAAAATCGCGGAGATCGATCATGAAATTCAAACGATGCAGAAAACAAAAGAAGACATTACTCGCCTTGAGCAGCGTTTGGAAAGGATTGAAGTTTCAATTCGTGATAATGAGCAGAGATCGCGGTTGAATAATGTGGAGATTAAGGGCGTGCCGGTAACTGCATCTGAAAACCTATACACGATTGTATCGAAGATTGGTAGCATCATCAATTGCCATGTCAATAAGGAGCAAATTGACTACATTGCTAGAGTTCCTCAGCGAAAAAATAAGGATAACAAAAATATAATTGTTTCTTTGCACAATCGATATCTTCGTGATGACTTCGTAAGTGCGGCTAAGAAGTACCACTCAATAAAGGCTTCTGACTTGGGTCTTAATGGCGATAGCAAGATTTTTGTAAATGACCACTTAACGTTCGAGAATAAACAGCTGCTCAATAAGGCAAAGTCACTGGCTAGAGAGAAGGATTTTACTTATGTGTGGGTCAAAAATTGCAAAATTTTTGTGAAGAGAAATCCCACTTCTCCCACTCTCACAATCAAGTCAGATGTGGATTTAAAGAAAATATATTAGTGGCACAAGTTATAATTTTACTAGTTTTTGCATGTAATATTATTAAGTTTATAGTCGTAAGTATTTTGAGAAACACTGGTATGTTATTTTTTTACACCTATTCAATAGATTTACTAATGAGCCTCGCTTTTGTTCTCTTATCGCTCGGGTCGAAGCCGGCTACCTGCGCCTTTTGTTTGCATTGTGGTTCTTATGTCTTATGCGTTAAAGCTTCATTGCCTTTAATAGTATATTCATTTGTATTTTTGTGGTTACCTTATTTTAAACGAACAATTTTTTATAAACTTGACGATGCTTATGCGCCTTCTACACAGTTATTCGGCTATAAGTATATTTATTACTGGCTTCTTCCGCAATTGATTGTTATTAGCTTATTTAATCTGTGTGTTTTAGTATTTACGGAGCTTGTGTTTTGGATTTTGGTAAAAACGTGGAATTCTTCCGTATCAAATTGTTTATTTCCTTTGCTAATACCTCGTATCTGTAAAAATGGCTATTAAATTGTATTATCAGAATGTACGTGGTTTGCGGACTAAGACTTCTCAACTACTTAGAAATGTATGCTTAAATAATTATGATCTCATATGCTTGACTGAGACTTGGTTAAAGGATGATTTCAATGATAACGAACTATTTGGAGATAATTATCTGGTTTGGAGGCGTGACAGAAATTACTCGGTATTGAATCAAACCCTTGGTGGGGGTGTGCTTATCGCTGTTCGCAGAGAATTGGTTGCCGAGGAACGCAATGACTGGTGTTCGTCCGCCGAGGACATTTGGGTAACCCTAGTGCTTAAGCGCTCTCAACCTAAAGTCTCCTACAAAATACATATTTGTACAGCATATATTTGTAAAAACAATCTTGGTAATTCATTGCAAACACAATTATCATGTTTTTACTCTAAATTAAACGACATCGTATTAAATAATTTAACGGATGCTTTTGTTATTGTAGGCGATTTTAATTTACCCAATGTAGAATGGAGTTTGTCGGGGGATGGGCATTCGTTGGATCCTAGTAACATTCAAGGATTGATTCAAGCGGAGTTTTTTGATATTTTAAATACGGGTAATTTTCTCCAGTATAACTCTCACAAAAATACAAATGATAGAATATTGGATCTGGTTCTCAGCAACAATTACCTTGATGTCGCTAAATGTTCTGAACCATTAGTTTCTGAGGACCCACATCACGTATCTCTCTGTATAAACTTTGATTTCGTGGAATATCATAATATGTTACCTACTCAACCAAGACTTAAATTTTTGTTTGATTTAGCTAACTATGAAATAATATCGAAAGAACTCGACACTTTTGACTGGAATAATGATCTTGTTCAAGGGACAGTGGAGGATGCTACGTCACTTTTTTACTCTAGATTAGACAAATTATGCAGCTTACATGTACCTGTAAAAATGATTAAGCCTAGTTCTAAGTATCCTATTTGGTATAAGTCACCTCTTATTAAAATATTAAAAGAAAAATTTAAGTACCATAGAAAGTTTAAAAAATATGGAAATAGATGTGATTACGATTCATTTTCTGCGTTAAGAGATCGAGGAAAAATACTGGAGAGGGAAATGTTTGCTGATTATATTGACACCATAGAAAGTAATATAAAAAAATCTCCTAAGTCTTTTTGGTCTTTTGTAAAAACTAAGCAGGGTTCTAACGCTTATCCATCTAACATGTCATATGGACAGTGTGCCTCAAGTGACAGTAATATGATTTGTAATATGTTTAGTGACTATTTTTATTGTAATTTCCTCCAAACTCCTAGTAATAATAGCATTGGCCTTGATTCAGATATTTTGAACAGATGTCAGTCCTCTTCTGATATCGGTTCTATAGAAATTCTTCAATCTAATCTATATACTTTATTAAAAAAATTAGACTTAAATAAATCTGCTGGCCCGGATGGAATTCCACCTATGTTTATAGTACGTTGTAGTATAAGTTTGTCATTGCCCTTATCTATATTGTATACTCGATCTCTAAATGAAGGAGTGGTTCCTGTTATCTGGAAAAATGCGTTTGTTACACCCATACATAAAAAGGGTCCCAAGCATCAAATTGAGAACTATAGGCCCATATCTAAGCTCTGCTTATTTGCGAAAGTCCTAGAAAAAATAGTTCACACTCAACTTTACCACGCTCTTCAACACTCGTTTAGTGAGGGTCAACATGGCTTTATGAAGAATAGGTCCACTGTATCTAACCTCTTGGTCTGTTCAGAGTATTTATCGGATATAATGTCACGTCCTTCCCAAGTCGATTCAATCTATACGGACTATAGTAAAGCCTTCGACAGAATAGATCACATTATCCTTTTACGTAAATTATTAACGATAGGCATTAGGGGTAATTTGTTTAGATGGTTTCAGTCTTACATAGATAACCGATGTCAAACGGTAGTACTCAATGGGTGTAAGTCAGTCCCGGTTAAAATACCTTCAGGCATTCCGCAAGGATCTCTTTTAGGTCCATTATTGTTCACCATATTTATCAATGATATAGGTTCTTGCTTTACTCATTCTAAAATAATCCTCTATGCGGATGACATGAAAATTCTCTGTCCAATTTTTTCGGTTCAGGATTGTATGGGTCTTCAGGAGGATCTTGACAGCTTACAAAGTTACTGTGCAATCAATAGATTAGAACTTAACGTCGCCAAATGCTTTGTTAATACTTTCACACGTAAACCGAATCCTATTTACTTTAAATATAAATTAAATCATACCATTTTGCATCGTAAAACTTTTGTTACAGACCTTGGTGTAATTTTTGATTCTAAATTACTTTTTGATACACACATTGAGAATATAATAAATAAAGCTAACAAAGCACTTGGTTTTGTACTAAGACTGGCATCTGATTTTCGTGACATTAAAACTTTTAAAATATTGTATTGTTCTTATGTCCGCAGCCATTTAGAGTATGCCTCGCAAGTTTGGAACCCGAATTACAATATTTATATTGATAGGATTGAGCGCATTCAAAAACGTTTTTTACGATTTCTACAATTCAAAACACGTAAGTATGTATCCGGTTATAATGTGCGATGTAAGAAATTTCATATGCTACCTCTCTATAAACGCAGACAAATAGCTGATATTTTGTACCTTTCCAAGATAGCCAACAATATGGTTGACTGCCCCGATTTGTTGGGTAAAGTGGGTTTGGTAACGCACTGTAAGACTTTGCGTAAGCCTAGTCTGCTTTATGTCCCTTGTGTTAGGACAACCTACAGGCAAAATTCTTTTCTTATAAGAGCGAGTAGATCCTATAACAATCTGTCTGAGCAACATGATTTCGATCTATTTCATACCAGTGTTTCTCGTTTAAAATCTATATTGTCTAAAAGCTTCTTTGCTTAACATTTATCATTTAATATTGTTATTACTTTGTTTCTTTCCTTAAGATTTATCATTTATTATTATTTTAAGTACTTTTGTTTCGATCGTCTGCTGACTGCTGCTGTTTTTGAATATTAGTATTTAGTTATTAGTGGAAACTTTTAATTGGCCTTAAAAATTTTCATTGTTTTAAATTTATTCATTTGTTTAGCTGTAAGTTTTCCGAATATCTTAAAATAAAATAAAAAAAAAAAAATAAGGCGTGTCACTCGGAGCTCGCAGCGTTGCCTTGGTGGTTATCACCAGGCCTCGCTGTACGGAGCGCTGCACGCGAGCCTATTAGTTACCCACCGCACTCGTGTCAATCATATGCCTTTTATGAAGTTATTTATCGCTGCCTTCATGCTACCATGTCACTCTTAAGGTTTATTAAATCACAAAAGTTTGCCACGGTGAGTACTGGTGAGGTTTATTTTGATTTATTCCTTATTAGTTGTCCTTAGTAGTAAAGTTGAATGACTTTCGGTTATCTTTTGGTTTACATCAACTAAAGCTACGTAAATCTCATACGTAGTTAACTTATGCCTTTTTATCGTGTAGAATTTTTTACTTTTATTTTTTTTACATGTAAATCTTCTTTTTATTTTGTCCACTCTCGCCCAAGGTGAGGGAGTGTCAGACTCTTACTGACTTAAAAACCACCCGTTCCTTCTCCTGCTCTATGCCGCGGCCGCGGAACCTAATTTTGCATCCCCGGCTATTAGAAGGGTTTTGTTCCACCAGTGCCAGCACTGAAATTTGAGTACCGAACTCGAACCAGGAGCGCCCTTGACAGTACCTTTATCCTTTATCCGGCTTGCAAAAGCTGCCATACTAGGCAGCACCCAACATTCGTTTAAAGAAAGAGGGAGACTACATCTTGAGATGAGAGGATATTACCCTGCCTGCTTGACCTGCTTACTGCTGCTGGAGTGACAGCCAGCCCGAGCTGTTAACCCAGCAGCTCAATAGTATGTCTACGTCTTTTTTTATTCAGTAAATAGCCTATTACTGGCACAGTTATCGATGACCTCCAAGCTTGCGATAAAGAGGTTCTTTCGTGCGGTTGCGGTCAACCTGAACATATTTTACATAATATTGAGTCGGCCGCCCGAATCCCTCCACCGATGTCCTTGACAACACAGTAGCTATACAACGCCTAGAGATCTTTATCAAAGGAAAATTATTGCATTTCAACTTTATTTTTTGTTTGACTCGTTTCTGTGTAAGAAATACAAGAAAAGATAAAAGAAATAAATAGACGACCACGAAGAGTAAAGCCAAAACCTAAAACATTTAGACAAAAACCTCTATTACTTTAAAGTACCTTCAAAAAGAAACATGACAATTCTCAATAGTGGTTTAAGAATTGCATATAGAGAAACATCATGAAATATTAAGATATGCTAATGTCTCCAAGGTGAAATTGTGAGTGAAGAACTGAGGGGTATTATAAATAGGGTTCCAGCGCAAGGCTGCATAAGATGGTCGTATAATGTAAGAGATCATGGCGACATGCCACGTACGCTTGGAGGCCATGTCGTGTTCCGTTCTATGTGAGTTGTGTGACGAGTAGAAACGGAACTCTGCCAGAATCTGCTGTTTCCTCACAGTTCCGTTCTTTGTACGGAAATAAAAAAAAACTTGTAACTTCTTTAACTTTTACGCCATTCAAAGTGGCTTGTTGTTTTTAGCTTAAGAGTTAAAAGCTTGGAGTTTTATGAGGACTCGGTAGGAGAAACCTGGAGTTATAATTACTAATAGTAATTTTTAAATCGCCAGTCCACCTTGAGCAAGCTTTGTGAATAATGCTCAAACGCTCTTCGTGTATTTGCTTAGCACTTTTAGGCTGATGATGATGATGATGATAACTTCGTGTGGGTTACAAGAGCTTCAAAGGTTTTTCTCATAATTTTCAGTCAGAATACTAACAAAATACGTGCAGGTATTACGTATTGTTGTCACACATTCGACGTATGAAGGTTGCAGTCTCACAAACAATACAAACTTAAGGCTAGCTGAGCTATATTGTGTCGTCAAATTACAACGCTATTCCAATGCCGCATTGTTAAGCATAAGTAGTCATAGTGAACGCGAGGATGGTGGTGGTAGGCTAGTCTACATTTTAGGGAGAAGTGGGGGTGTCCGGTCCGTTATTGAGCGGCCGACAAGGTCAAACCCTTGAACTCTTGCGGACCGCAGTCCAATGTATCTAGGATTACGTTTTTCAAACAATTTTCTTCACTGAAAGGTCGAGCCTTGCTGACTGACGCGTTAATGTTTTATGCAGGTCAAGTTGATGAGTAAGGCCGACGCGAGACGTCCGATAAATTGTTATTATTAATTTATCTATTATGTATTTATAACTAATGTAGATCGCGTGTTACATCACGTGAAAATATTGGATATACATATATCTGTATACTTAGAAATAACATGTCTTTAGGTAGGTACTAAGTAATATGTTTGTTTATCCTTCCTGTCTTCGTTGTATATACAATCTCAGATTTTAGGAAACAGCTTCACTGATTTTGTTGTAAGTTTACACGTAAAGGGTTTCGGGGACGAAAAACTACGTAGATAGGATGCAATTTCAGAAAACAATATCTAGCCAGATTACCTTTATAATATAACTATCCTCACCGTGTTTACACCGAATTTGGGAAAGTTGTGTACTTTCATAAATATCAATAAGCACGAAAGGAATTTCACAGTTTGCGGTGAAGTGGGTGCACTGCGAGCGGTTTTAGCTTCCGGCGCAGACGCAGCCACGCCAGATCAACACGGTGGATACCCTCTACACTACGCCGCACAAATGTGTGGCGCTCCAGCCGCTACTGACCACCAAGTAATTAATCTTTACAATAACCTAATCTTTCTAGATACACTTTTTTTAGGATAAGTCAACAATCGAGCATATGGATCACCTGATGGTAAGCAATCGGCGTCTCTTACAAATAAGCGTAACACCAAACGAGTGACTTGTGCGACACAGAACAAGTACTAAAACTCAAAATAAGTATAAATGGATTTTTTTATGGGATAGGAGACTAAGAAGCTACTAGTCAGCTGATGGATAACCTGATGGTAATTAATTGAAACCAACCTAGATACCTGCGGCACCAGACGACCACAGGCGCATTGCCGGAACTTTAGATAGTAGATGAAACATGAAAAATATCCATTTGATCTACAGAGCAGAGGTGCAGCTCTAGAAGTCTTGCGAGCACTAGTCAAAGAGGGCGGGGCAAGTGTAGACGTGAGAGACGCTGATGGCCGAACCCCTCTCCTGTGGGCAGCGTCAGCAGGGTCAGCGGCTGCAGTATTGGCATTACACCAAGCAGGGGCCAAGGTTGACGATGCTGACAGGTACGATATGATTATCGTTGTTACGTAGGTTCTAATATATTATAAGAAATATTAGGGTATATATTCGTAGATCCCAATAAATAAAAACAATGAATGAGCGATTTGTTTTTTTATGGTAGGTCGAGAACGATCAGACGGGTCAGCTGATGGTAAGCAATCGGCGCCGCCCATGGATATTTGAGCGTTGCTGGCCTCCTATGGGCTGAAAATAATAGCCCGGTGTAATTATTCTAAGCCTAAGGGTGGTTATAAATTTAAGGACAGGGGTTTTCGTGACTGAAATTGGGAGTAGGGGGCGCGAGGTTTGGTTGATAACTTCACAAACACTCACGGTGAAATGAGTGTTGTTTGACGCCGGCATTTGGTATCACTCCGGTCGAGCTGGCCCATTTACAGTTTACACATATTACATTGCTTATAAATACTGTTTTACACAGAAATAACATTATAATACTACTTTACAGAGACGGACTAACTGCTCTACACTGCGCTGCTGCCAGAGGGCACACAGAAGCTTTGGAAACATTAGTAGGTCTGTGTGGAGCGCGAGTTGACGTAGCAGATTCGCATGGTTGTACTCCATTGCACTATGCGGCTGCATTAGGCCATGCCGATGCAACATCAGCTCTATTACAACACGGCGCCGATTCACATCGACAAGACCGAAGAGGTCGAAGCCCCGCTCATACAGCGGCAGCTAAAGGACAAATCGAAACTGTGCGGATACTAGGTATACGTTCTTAATTAAATTTTATTCTTAAGATATGAGATTCCATTTAGTTTTTTTTTAAGTAAGACTTGTCTAAGACCTGTTATTTTGTAATGTAATTTCAGGTGCCCGAGGTGCTAACTTATGGCTCCGAAACTCTAAAGGCGACTTACCTTTACATGAAGCAGTTGCATCCGGAAGACGAGAATTAGTTAAATGGCTTTTAGATGGCCGTCCATCCCAAGTAAACGCTACCAACCATGAAGGTCGAACACCATTGCATATAGCAGCCGCTACTGATAATGCTGATCTGTGCCGCTTGTTGCTAGACCGCGGTGCTGAAGTTAATCTAATAGCGAGATCATCAAAAAACGAGCCCCTTACTCCCTTAGATTGTGCAACAAGTCGTGGTCACCGATCTACGGCTAAATATCTACAGATGCATGGAGGAATACCTGCATCTAAATTAGCCAATACAGATATTATCATAGATGGGGCTCCAATAACTGCATTGCCCACTCGAAGAGTCACAAGTACAAAAATAGATGTACATGATAGGATAAGGATAGAAAAAAGAGAAGTAGTTGAACTGTCTAGCCCCGTCCAAGAGAGGCGGAAGTACCAAGATAGAGGTAGTAGTGATTCCAATGAATCTTCAGCAGATAGCAGAAGAAGAACGACAAAGAAAAAAGCAGAATCTCATAAACATAAAAATAATAATCACAAAGAGCGACGAAAAAGACTTATGCATACACAAAAAAGTTTTAGTGACGGATATGATAGTGAATTTGAAGCTTTTGAACGGGAAGATTCCCGTGATCGTAATCATAAAAATTCGAAGAAAAACAGATCAAAAAGTGAACCATCAAGGCGTCATAAGCGTAGTGCAAAACAACACCACCACCATCGTTATAGATCTCGGTCTATCAGTTCTTCAGAATCTGACAGTTATTCAGAGAACAGGAGAAGCAGAAGACGCAGGCGCAGTAAAAAAAAATCTAGTTCATTCTCAGAAAGCAGTAGTTCAGAATCCAGTGAAAGACGCAGTACTAAACGCAAAGGAAAAAAAACGTCAATCCATATAGAAAACGATAACGAAAAACAAAGTGTGAATATAATAAAGTACAAAACAACTGATAGTTTACAGGGTAAAGAAAAAAACGAAAATTTTATTACAGATTCAGAAAATAAAATTGAGGGTCAGAGATCAGAAACAGAAAAGGAGGAGAACAAAATAGTTAAGGCAGGTCATAGTGAAACTGAAACTGATACGTTATCAGTTAAAACAAACATGATCATCACTGAAGCCCAAATTCATATGGAACGGCAGTCTAGTCAATTAGGAAACTCCGAATTAAATGTCACGGTCGATTCTTCGAATAACGTATCTATCGAATCTACAAATTTATCAGTGACACACAAAGACTTAACTGAAGAAACTAAACCAAAAAGTGACAAACTAGAAATACAAAATAATAATAAAGAAGTTCTCAAAGCAGACGTGATTGACGTCCCAAGTAATGAAACCCAAAAAGAATCTTCGCAAACTGATGTTTCAACAGCTGACAAACAAGATGCACTAGCTGGAGATAATCAGACGCAAATTAAAACTTCAACGGAAGAGAAGGATGACCAAAATAAAGTTTCAAATGAACCAGAAAAAAGCCAGGCTAGTAAATCACAAACTGAAGGAGAGCAAATTGTTAAATCTGAAGCCAAACAAACAAGTTCTGAAAATTTAAAATCTCCTCAAGATGATAGTAAGGACCCCAGCGCAGTGTCAGACAATGAACTGAAACAATCGCCAACTTTCTCAGAATTGACAAGAAGAAAGTCATTTCAGATATTATCCGGCCCAGATGAAATTGGATCACCCAGTCAAAATGCATCGGGAGAATTAAAAACTAGCTATGATGCTCCCAGTATAGAACAAACTGAATCTCCCGAGAAAACCAGTTCGCCAGCTGTGTCATTTTCCAATAAAGATATAATAATAGACAGCAAAGAACCTAAAGTTAAAACTGACCATTTAATGGGAGAATCTGTCGACCATAGTTTAGATCCTGAAACTGATAAACAAATTCAAGATAGTATTTTACAAAAGGATAGTAGTGATAGTAACGTCATAAGTTCAGAAGAGAGAAGAAAAGATTTTCAGACGTCTACTACTGGAAGCAGCACTGAGAATGCTCCAAGCAATGATAAAGGATTACTGTCCGTACTTGATGATAACGTCCCTACGAGTGACCGTGCAGTTCAGCAAGTTATTTTAGAAAATTTGTCAGAAGAATATGATGTAGACTTGACTTTGCATCAGACGACACCAACCAGAGTGCGAAAGACATCCAAAGAAAGCCAAGGTAGCAGTCGAAAGAGTAGCATATACGAAACAGAAAGTTACAAAGTACTGTCGGATATTGCTAGTGCTCCAGATGCTACAACTGGGATTCTTAAAAAAACAGTATCAAAAGTTGATGAACCTTCCCTGGAAGACGGAGAAACATTTGAAGGGGGAAGTATTTCAAAAGATGGTTACATAGGAAGGGTACCAAGTGTCAGTGACAACGAATTGTACAGTCATAGTGAAGCAAATGGCCGAAGAAAACGTTTTCGCAAAAAAGGAAGAACGAAAAGTCGAACAACTATTAGATCAAAAAGTGAAAACTCAGAGAGAGGGTATGAATCTAGTGGTTTAATGGATTCTGGTTTTGAACCAAGTCCCAGAGCTATTCAGCGTAGAATAACAAGCCCTCGTCTCGCAGCTTATTATAAACAAAGAAATGCCAGCGGAAGGTATTCAGGAAAGTCTGACAGTCGGATCCCGGTTCGAAAACCAGGTGACAAAAATGCCGTTGATATGAAGTCTGTTACTCAGAGAATTCAGACAAATATGAGACGGTAAGAAATCGTCCAAGATAATTCATTTTTGATAGTATCTACATGGTTGAAAATGAAATTTCATATAACACTTTACAATTCAATCACTTTATGTTTGCAGGTATTATTGCGAAAGAAAGCTTTTTCAACATTTATTAGAGTTAAAACGACTTCAAATAAGAACCAGCAAAGCAAATGAAGCGGTACTCGTCAAGAGAGCCATCGACGAATATAATAAATCAAGTCTAGCTAACGTTGGTCTGGGTCCATACAATACTCCAGATTATTCCTTTAGTAGCTTTGAGAAATTTCTTTATGAAAGTTTGAGAAAGCTACAAAAGAGTGGAAAGAAACATTTGGATAATTTACCAGAGAAACCAATTGACTTTGACTATGGAGAAAGTGAATTGTACAAAATGAGTGCTATTCCCGACAACCCATGTCTTTGTACTAGCAAGACCCACAGGTGTTACCATGCGGTCCACGCTTATACTGGTATACCGTGCTCAGCGTATAGTAAGTATCGTTACCATCAATAAGAAATACATCTAATCGTTATTTATTTATTTATTTTATTTGGACAACTAGTAGTTGTTACATTTAAACTTATATCTAAAAACTTATGTAATAATAAAATCAAATGCACAACATTTTAAAGTGTCACAACATGCTCTGTAACGTAACGACAACAGTTGGTATATTACAATTACAATTACAAACTAGAAAAAACATTTAAAAAAGGAAAAAAAAATACTACAATAATGCGGAACAATAAAATTAAAGTAAAAAATAACAATAGAAACAATCGAGACAAATTAAGAACTAAGTTTGGACACTCAACAATCCCATCACAGCCTTTTTAAATTTTGGTAGCGTATCAGCAAAGATATCGATCCACAAATTTCATTATATAAATTTGGCAGTCGAGATATGGCAGAAAAATCTCGCAAATTGGTTCTAGCGCATGGCCGACGCAACAACCCGTTACAACGACGTTATTAACTTATGATTTTGCTTTCATTACAGTACCCTACAAATGGAACCACCACACAATGCCGAAACCCGCAACAGCTGGTGGTGGATCAAAATCAAAAGGTTTTCTTCCGAAAATAAATTCTAAACCCCCATCAGGTACTGCAAAAGCGCACGTCACTCTAGAAGTGTCACACGGGACTGAAAAGCAGTTGATAGCGTTACCAGCTGAGAAATTGGACAAGAATAAACGATATTATGTCACGTTCACTGTAAAGGGATCTGAGCCGACGTCTGATAACGACAACTCTTCTCCGAGCGCGACTTTAAACACCAAGAGTGTAAGGACAGGATGATTGTGATAATAGTTTACGTTTGACGACAAACCTGTACTAATCACTGCCAGTATTCAAAAAAAACTGTAGGTTGGGGCAAATAAGAGAATAGGCCAGTAACGCGCTGCACCTACAAAATAGTGATTAGACTGAACGAAGCCGTCCATTACGACAAATAAAAACTAATAATTATTTATTTTTTATAATTCTTAATAAAATATTATCTATGTACGAATATCTGTCAGAGTATCTATAACAAATAAGTAAATGTTGTGTAGTCTTCCTGTTAAAGCGTTATAATGCACAGATAAGAAAATTTATCATTAAAACGCCGATTGTTTTCTGCACAAAATATTTTGTCATGATACTCAAATGTATTTAATTACAATTAGTGAGAATATAATTGATTTTGAGAACAAGTTTGTTTATTTTGATGTAAATATGGGAATTAAAATGATTTGAGGTTATGTTATGGTACCTACTTTGATCCTTCAAATCTTTTCAAATAATAAACATAGGTGATAAGATAACATTATAAAAATAAAATTCATCTGGAATTCATATAAATATTTATTAATCTAAATGAGGAAAATATTGTATAAAGACCATTTACACAAAACATAATTATGACATGCACAACACTAAAACAGAGCGCTTCGCTATAACAAACGAAAAAGCTATAAAATAAAAAATAACATTTAGACTCCAAGCAATAGCGCTACTCCGGCGAGTGTCCAGCGAGTTGGTTTATCCCTGGTCTTCAGATTGAACGTCCAAACAAAAGTCGGGCCTCGCATACTGTAAAGAAAGTTTTCATAGTATTTAATAAAGATCTTTTACTAGTTGGCGCTAGTGTAGCTTAAGGGACCATCAACTAAAAAAGGGAACTAGAGTTTTGAACTCACCGAATCTTGTAGACCGGACACTCGTACACGTTACGAGTATCCTGCTTATCCTGCGTGACGGCACGGATGAACATGACAGGCATCATCGGGAACAGCTCCATCATACGGGATTCGACTATGCCGCCGGTCATAGTGTCCCAGCGCGCGCCTTCCATAAACAGTCCGTGAATGTTGGCGCCTTCGCGTGGTGGAGCACTGTTAAATTTGAAATGTTACATGTTATATTAAAGTGGATGGACATCATAATACAAATTATACTGTACGACCACCAGTGCTGTATACATTTTAGAGGCTAATTGGGAGTTGATTATATTATGATTTGTCTGAGAGCACTTACTTAAAGTCTTGCCGGGTCTTCTTGGTTACGTCACAATTCAAGCACATTTTATCTAATGGCCACTCATTCTTACGAGCCGTCTGTTGCATGATGGCAGTCAGGAACGACTGAGGGTTGAAGAAACCTGCAAGCCACACTGCTGGTGGCAGCTGAAAAAAATGAAAGATGTAAATGAACGTGCGCATCTGACACATCTGATAATAAGCGTATTTGGCCGATGTGGACCGACCATTAAGAATTTTCGTCGAGGATGGCTTTAGGGGTATTACTAGCCTAGAAAACATAACGCCGCTCAATATCTCAATGAGAACAGGGCAGAGGGTGAAACTGTCGGATTTTTTTCATGAGATAGGTCGGCAAACAAGCAGACGGATTACCTGATGGTAAGCAATCAGCAGCGCCAGTGGACACGCAACAACAGAGGAGTTTCGAGTGCGTTGCCGACCTTTTAGGAACTAGGGATTTGGAGATTTAGGAATTGGAGAGGAAATGGGGGAGGGGAAGGATTGGGCTTCCAGTAACCTGGCTCATACGGCGAAACAAAACGCTGTGGTTGTTTCTCGCAAACTTTCTGTGAGGTCGTGGTATCAGTCCTATCGAGCCGTCCTATTCGTGCCGAAGAATGGCTCTCCTGCAGTTATAAAGTATAAAGTACTAAAACTTACGGTAAAATCTCCAGTCCAGTTTTCAAGTTCAGTCAGTCGTGTGCAGAGGTCTGAGAACCAAGCGGCCAGCCCCAATAAGCTAGGGTACGCCAGTTTACTCCATGAAGCAGGCACGTTGTCCATGAACAAAGATTCCATCAGCTGTTCCATGTCACCGCTTATGGTCAACTCGCCCTGTTAAAAGGTGCTTATGAAAGACACTTTTTATATTATTTTAACTAAGATCTTTGATGAAGTTATTGTTAAATTAACTGACACACTTTTTGAAACTATTTTATGGACTATGGGAAAAAAACCTCGAATAATCTATTTAAGTTATGTGCGCAGCAACGTAATGGAACAGCTCAGCATTTTATTTGTATGCATTTTATAAATGCGTCAATTTTACGTATAGTTAGTTCACTAATACGTTGTAAAATGGGCCCTAAAATAATGTCACTTCATTAACATTGTGTTAGTACCAGTTAGTATCTGTTAAACATTTTATAATGTTTGATATCACATCCCTACAATTGATTCTTACCTTTTTTTGTGACGGAAAATCATGAAATGAGTACTCTCGCCCAGTGTTAGGTGAGAGGGAGTGTCAGACACAACTAATTAAAAAAAGTCCGTCCCTTCCCCTACTTTAGGCTTAGACCGCGGTGCCCCATTGTTTTTTTTTTCAAAGTCAAATGTTGGAATTTCTTTCTTACCTTAAGGCCCAATTCTGTCTCCTTTAATGACCTTCGAATTTCTCCCATGAGGCGGTTCATCCGTTCACACTCCTGAATGGCTACGATAGTGAATGGAGTCAATTCTTCAACTTTAGACATCAGTTCAGCAAGATTAAATGGTTCAGGAACTCTGTCCAAGATGTCATCTAGTAAAAGCCGAATCTGTGTACAACAGAGATTACCATAGTGATAAAAATGTAGGTTAAACACGTTTCGGTCAAACTAGGTATATGATGATGATGATGAGTATGATGGTGATGATTATGATGACGACGATGATGATGATGATGATGATGATGATGATAGTGGTGCGTGTGAGTGTTTAGAGTAAAAGGACAACTCTTAAATTATGTTCGGGCATAAACTTTAAGTGGCAATGACAATATTAATACGCATTGAATTTTTCATTTGTCTTTTGGTGATTGGGCAACCACTGGTATCTATAAGAGTAGAAATCGCCTGTATGAGCTTTATAACGAGCGGACATATATTAACACTGTTGAATTCAGTAAATACGTAAAAAACTATTCTAAAATATTTAAAAAGGTTTGCTCTATTGCAAAATCACTATTCTTATGCTGTAAGATAAAGAACAGTACCAATGTTATCAAAGACACTTGGAATATTATCAACAGTGAGGCAGGAAGGTCTAAAAAGTAACAAAAGTAGTAACAAAGTGCAAACATAGTCTAGTAATTGATAAAAGATAATAAAAGCGGCTGTAGAAATCGCAACTGCTTTTGAACATTTCTTTTCCGACATTCCTGTATCCACTACTAAGTCCTTGAATTCATCTCCCATTGTTGCAGTCTTTACTGAAAAAACATGTTGTAGCTTACGATTCAGGGTTTTCCTTCGAACACATACAGGGTGTAAAAAGACACTTAACGAAGCCGAAAGCCACGTACTCCACTATTTGGATCATTTTTAACCGACTTCAAAAAAGGAGGAGGTTCTCAATTCGACGAGTATTTTTTTTTTTTTTTTTTTTTTTTTATGTATGTACACCGATTACTCGAAGACGCCTGGACCGATTTGCAAAATTCTTTTTTTATTCGATAGGGTATACTTGCCATTTGGTCCCATTGTCATGAAGTCAGGATCTGATGATGGAATCCTGGAGAAACCGAGGGGAACTTTCGAAAATTGTAGGGGCGAGTAGTGTTTTTGTATGATGTTTAAGTAGGCCTTTATCAACACTACAACTTGACGAAGGTCGAAGTCGACCAGATGTTGGAACTGGAAGACAGTCGAGGGATCTCCTTGACTATTTGAAGTAGTTGCCTTGTGTTTGGGCTTGAATGATTCGTATTGACCAGCACTTTGCAGCAGGCTTGGTTGTAACTGTCATTAAGGGTCTGATGATGAGAACGAAAGACAGCTCAAGGAACTCCTGAACGGTTTACAGTAACTACTTCGTGTTTGAACTTAATTCATTTATATTGATGAAAACTTTGTACCTGTATGTATTATAACAACTGAAGGTCTGCAGTTTACCTGATGATGGAGACCATTGACCGTCGAGGGAATTCCGGATGGAACCGAGAGACAGTCGAGAGAACTCCTCAACGATTCATAGCAGCTTCCTTGTGTTTGAGCTTAATTAATTCGTTTTGATAAGAACTTTACATCTAGATGGATTGTGACTGTCATCAGGGATCAGATGATGAAGACGAAGGACAGTCTAGGGAACTCCTCAACGGTTTACAGTAGCTACCTCGTGTTTGGACTTAATTTATATTGTTAAGAACTTTCCTAGAGAGATGGCCTGTGTTCCAGTAGTGGGAACATTAAAATGGCTGATGATGATGATGATGATGATGATGATGATGAGAACTTTCCCGTTTCTTGAGATCAATATTTTTTTATCGAGCGGCTCCTTTCGTAGGCCTAGGTACACAAAGCTACTTAAAAAGTATATACTATTCAATATGTTAATTTATATTTAAAATGTTACTGTAGTTTACAGAAGAACTTGTAACAGATACTAAAAAGTAAAAAATAAAAAAAACTACGTTTAAAAAAACCGACTTCAAAAACAAAAAAGTGTCAAATAAGTAATTAAAATTGATATTTTAATACCACTCTTACGTACGCGAAGCTAATACTTTTAATATTAATAATAAAACACTATCAATTCTATGTGCTACCTATTCATAGATTTGAAGTCGGTGCCAAGCCCTAAACAGAATAAAACTAAATGAGAATAGAGACTGTTTAACTGCTAAAAGACGAAATTTTCACAACTAACAACGCAGCTACCTAGTACTACTTTTAACAACCAAGTACGAGAAAACTTTCAGAATTCATAATTCATCCAAATATCTTTTTAAGCTATATACAGTTTCGCCGGTAACGAAACCATATAGCCATTCTGCGCTAACGCCATCAAGTTAGAAAAACGGTACTAAATTTCTTAAATCCTAACCAACAAATTCAAACGCGCCCGGCGAGTGTAGGTACTCATGTATCATGCTTATTATATTATGTATTAGGCTTGGCACCGACTTCAAATCTATGAATAGGTAGCACATAGAATTGATAGTGTTTTATTATTAATATTAAAAGTATTAGCTTCGCGTACGTAAGAGTGGTATTAAAATATCAATTTTAATTACTTATTTGACACTTTTTTGTTTTTGAAGTCGGTTTTTTTAAACGTAGTTTTTTTTATTTTCTTTAAGACCATAACTGGGACTCCACGGTTTCTCGAGATATTGAAGGTCAAAGATGCATTTTTATTTTTATTTTTTTGCGCAATCGAATACTCAGTATTATTACAAAACTTTTTCCAATAAACATTACCTGAATTTACGATTTTTCGTAAAATAAATTAATAAATAAATTACGCATTTGAAGTTACGAACAGTAATGTACGTAGTAAATAAATGCAGACCCGCACAAAAAACATCGTGCATCTCAGTAGGATTTTGATTTTACAGAATTGTTTTGTTGTTAAGTAAAACGTCGACCTCTACGTACTTATCACCTACGTACACAATGACACGAAGCCCGTTTGCTTTACATTTAACATCATCATCATCATCATCATCATCATCATCATCATCATCATCATCATCATCATCATCATCAACATCATCATCATCATCATCATCATCGTCATCATCATCATCATCATCATCATCATCATCATCATCATCAATCTGTCATGATACACTGATCAGGAAGCTTTCCCATTACGGAATAAGAAGTGCATCCCTGGACCTTCTTACCTCATACCTGAGTAATAGGGTTCAGAGAGTTGAAGTAAACGGAATGGTTTCTGCCGGGATTGTTGTGAACATGGGTGTTCCGCAAGGTTCTATTCTCGGCCCGTTTTTATTTCTTATCGATATTAATGACTTGCCTTGCCTTGTAAGGGATAAACACGAGATAGTACTGTATGCTGATGATACCTCACTATTATTAAAAACTCTGACGGCGACAATCAGTTATTGACAATGTAAACAGTGCTCTCTGAAATAATTCACTGGTTTGGTGTTTAATAACTTATTACTAAACGAAACTAAAACTAAATGTTTTAAATTAACAACACCAAATGTCAAAGAGGTAAAAACCAGTGTGCATGTCAAGGGCGAGGAGTTGAGTCCTGTACAGCCATCTTTTTAGGTATAACCCTGGACGCTAAGCTCTATTGGGGCCCACATATAGATGGCTTGTCAAAGAAGCTCAGTTCTGCAGCATATGCCTTTAAAAAATTAGAAAATTAACAGATGTGGATACAGCGCGGTTACTTTATTTTAGCTATTTTCACAGCATCATTTCATACGGTGTTTTGTTGTGGGGGAATGCTGCTGACATCCAGTTTATTTTTGTTCTGCAGAAAAGATTTAATGTTAGGGAAAATATTTAGTTTTAATTCCGCGACAAAAATCCAGGCTTGTTGCAGGATGCAATCCCACTCCTATGCAATCATGCATATGCACATGCAGCAAGGGTAACATGCATATGCACACATACACAAAACGGAAAAACATGCCACGCAATCAAACCTATACTCGACACGTGTTTCGCCCCTCCACAGGGCATCCTCAGGAGATGTTGACTCGACGAGCGCTCGTCGAGTCATGGCAGCCGAGGCATGTTTGCTGCATGTGCATATGCATGATTGCATAGGAGTGGGATTGCATGCTGCAACAAGCCTGGATTTTTGTCGCGGAATTAAAACTAAATATTTTCCCTAACATTTAATGTCATGGATTTCCGCAAAGTAACGCCTGATTCTATAAATTATCTGCAGAAAAGAGCTATTCAATCAATCTATAATCTTAGGCCGAGGCATTCGCACAGAGAATTATTTAAGGAATCTAAAATAATGACATTTGCCTCTCAATATATTGTGACGGAAAACTCTTTGACATCATGACGTCAAGGGATGGTTGTCAAACGTTGCCTAGAGATTGTAAATTTCGTCGTGAATTGTCAACACGAGTTGGTGTAATCGGTAAGGCGTTTGGATTACACCACAAAGACCCCGAGTTCGAGTCCCGCCGTAAACATGAAGTTTTTTAGTTGATGGAAGTTTTGTCGAACTTTCTGGAATTATTTGAGTGAAAGAAATGAAAAATTAAGGAGCGAGAAGGAGAATAAATAAAAATGAATAACGAAATTATTGGAAGGTTCTGGAGGCATGACGATCAAAAAGAATAACGAAATTGAATGTTCTAGAACCTGACCGGGGGTATATAAGCGGAACTGCGGCTCACCGCTGGCAGTTGAGTTCTAAGTCCAAAGCGATTCGGAAGAAAAGGAAGAAGTGAAAAAGAAGAAAAGTGAGTGAAATAGTGAAGTGCAGTGAGTTAAGTGAAAGTCAGCGTGAACTGTGAGCGGCAAACGGAAGTTTGTGTCAGTCGCCCGGACTCTGCCGGAGAGGAACGCCGAAAACTTAACTCGGTGGACACTGTCATTTAAGTGCAATAGAAAGTCTTGAAAACCGGTATTAGTGTTTAATTTTATCCAATCCCGTAACCCAAGCCCGCATAGTCAGGAACGTGACGTCAGGCACGTAACATTTGGTGTCAGAAGTGGGATTGGAGAAAAATGCCGCTAGTGCCGCAGGACGTAAGAGGAGTAAGTACCCGTGCTATGTCAGAAGCGCAGCGTGTGAGGGAAGAGGGTGCTGCAGCTCAAACCAGCGATGC